CTGTCCCCTCTGAACCCTCCTAAGATGTCTCTTGTTGGACACACTTTTTACTTTGTATTAGATAGTACTGCACCTGTAGTACTTTTTTTTGGTCTTTTTAGCATCTTTTATAAGGTACTTTGTAATACCTGCTTACTCTTACTTATCTTTTGTATTTCCTCACTAGATTGTGAGCTATAACCTCTTAGGATCTTATCTAGCTATGTTTCCTCCTTGGATTGAATTCTGTCTTGGAAATTATATTCAAGCAAGTAAGACTAAAGGATTATCAGTTTTTAGATTTAGACAGTTAATCAGCAGACTAACTTCCTTAGTGTCTTATGATTTACTAAATTAACAAAAATTCACCTAAGAACCCATCTGATTAGAACTGAACTACTTTAACAACCTTATTTACTCACAATAGTGGAGACACAGTCAGTAAAGTAAAGTTTGGTAGAGCTACAGCCCTTCCTAAATAGGTTAGCTCTTCCAGCCTACATCAGAACTATTGACTAGTTTACAAGTCATTCTGAGTAGGTTGTTTTGCTTCGTTTCCATGCTGATAGCAGATGGTGGTGGTGGCGGCTGTGTGCTGTGGACTTGGTTCTGACTCATAGCAAACCTGCATAGAATTTCAGAGGAGCAGAAAGCCTCATCTTTCTCTACAAAACAGCTGGTAGATTTGAACTACTGACTTTGGTTAGCAGCACAGCTCATAATCCACTATCCTATCAGTGCTCCTTGCAGATAGCTGGAACAGTATGAGAACTCTGAATGGATAAAGTTCTGTCATCTGCTCATGTGAACAAACAAGTTTACAATACATTTAGAAAACTCTCTTCAAAATGGTACAATTAAATTAAAAGAAAACTTAATGTCAGTCCTTAGCTACTGAAATGAGACTTTATAGTGTAATTTTATTTCATGTCAAATTGGTAAAGTCTTACTCTATATCCTAAAAGAACAATTACATGGTTTATGGGGGAAAAAGTGATGAAGCTATCTTATATACAAACCCACTGCTGTCATCTTGGTTCTGACTCATAGCAACCCTGTAGGACAGAGTAGAATTGTCCCTTAGGCTTTTCGAGGCTGTAGTCTTTACAGAAGCTGACTGCCACATACATCTCCCACAAACGGCTAACCACCAAGCACTTTAACCACCAGGGCTCCCCTGGCTAACAAATAAGGAATGAACTAGCCTCTGTATTCCTAAAGAATTAGTTTGGAATCAGCAAACTTCTTACACTACCTATCCCACTTCCTACCGTGTTAATTGTTGATATATTATGATGTATACTTTTTCTCTAATTTTTGGAATATAAAGTTGAAAGACTCACTAATTTTAATTTCATCATAGTAACTATGCTTCAAAAGTTGTTTGAAAAGATTATGAATTTCCTTGAAAAGCATTTTGCATTAAAAAATGTTAGATTCTTTTTTTTTTTTTTAATTTAAGGTTTTTATTGTGGATTGAGTGAAAGTTTACAGGGCACATCATCAGTTTCACATTCAACAATTCATATAACTTGTTTCATTA